GTCAGCATCGCTTCTTTTTTTCCTCGCTGAAATGGGATTATTCCCAATTTTCCATACAGTTGATGTTGGAATTTTCGTCAATGTGGCCATTTCTTCTAAAGGTGCTTGCTTGCTGGAACCACGTTCCAATAAACATTGTTTATAACTTCCTTAGTCTCAGTAGAATAATGTTTTCTACATTTGGGCGGGAGCATCTCTTGAGATACACTAGACTCGCACATCTTTTGCATAATTCGCACACGATTCAACACACGCTGAATTACACACGAAACAAGAATGATTACTAATAAACTTAAACTAAGTAGTATACCAAACCAAAGAATATTAAATACAGGTAGGTATAAAATTATTTTCTATTACGGACCACAATTTTACCTGCATTTGAATTCCGAAACTTTAGGTAATAATCTTGTTGTATTGTATGTTAATGACCACCCTTGGATAATCCCATTCAAAAGCAATTGGTCACTTTCTTATATCTATGAACAGACCATATATCTATAACAATCGTATAATTAAATAGTATATTATAATTTGTTTATCTTATATTAGGTTAATTAAAAATGTTTCTGAGGCAAGCTTTCTTTCTAGAAGCAGCTCACCAAAAGAATATTTATAATTTATGTGACAATAATTACATAAGCTTAATTAACATAAACATAAAATTTAAAGCTATTTCATTACATCTATTCTCAATTTTACTAATCCGAGATTAGTTGGGAATAAAAGCGTAGCTATCAAATTTCACATACTTTTTTTAAGGAAAGGAAATAAATTTGAGGATTAATTTCATCCGTTAAAAAACAATGATCAATAAATAAATTCGTTTTGCGGAAAAGTAGGCGGCTGTAACCGAGGATTAAAATTAGATTTGAACTTTCAAATAAGTTCAGAAATGGAAAATGGCCATCGGCAGCAAAATGCACTCCGTTCGTCTCCATGATTATGAACGCAATTAGCATACTTTGGCAAGTTTTGAGGTACCAATTTTAAGCGGCTTAATTGGTGCGACGCTTAGGATTGGCTTAAGTAAAGTTTCGTATGCAAACTCATCGTTTCGAAACTGACTCGGATAATTTCGTTTCCATGGAAATCGACGTTCACTTCATTTTAGTAAGTAATGTTATTTTAATTAGTTGGTAGATGTAATAAGAACCTTAATTTTCTAAAAAGGGATCTGCATATGGGCGAAATTTCGAGAACAGGATTTTTATTTGCTTAAACGCAAAAATATTTTTTATTTCATTTGTAGGTTATACGTATTCAAAAATTGAAAGAAAAATCCGGCTCGAAGGACCACAGGGTTCATTAATCGGTGAAACCACATTAGATTTTCTAGTGGTTTCGTGACGATGAAATTGCCGTTCCTTCAATAGAGTTTTCTCAGGACTGGATAATTTTCCCTGCGGACTATATTTTTCGAAACGGTATAAATTAGACTTTACCAAATGAAAAAGCAAAAAAAAATCGAATTTTTTTAGGATGGATGGCCAAATAGCGATGACCTATTGTGATTATTCTCGATCATAATGCACTACTCGATTGATTGAAAATTAACTTAATGATTTGCTGTATTTTAACGCTCTAGTGTTAAGCAAAATTAAGAACGTAAAAAAATCTGAATTAATTGCTACAAAACAAACAATGAAAAATAAGAATAATAAAGGACCGTTAATAGTTTTGGATCATGTAAGAGACTAATATATTTTTTAATTCATTAACATAGCCGAACAACGCTTTAAGCGTTTTGGCCTCATCGACGACAGCCTTCCATCTTGTTCTATTTCTCGCTACTTGTGCCCAGTTCTCTATATTCATCATCTTCAGGTCTCTCTCTATATTCTCTTTTCTTCTTTATTGTGGTTGTTCTGGGGCGTTCCTGCGCGTAGCCTGGCTATTCTCTTAACGTATATTGAGTTCAATTTCTTTCTATGCTTTTGCATCACGTTAAAATGGAAACAGTGCTATCTTCCTTGATTATATATCTATGATATTGGCTAATCATTAATATTAATTAGTAAGTTAACGAAAAAATAATTGTTACATATCTACTAGAGTGAAACTGTTGTGATGACGTATTATGTCGCTCATAGAGTTACCACCAATTGAAAAGTAATCTAATCGACTCAACTCGGAGAGCAAAAACCGTATAAAACTATGGAACGTTTGTTAGAAAAGTTTCAGTTTCGTTAAACATTACCGTATTTTTTCCTGTTATTGAAATTGTTACAGTCCAATTCTGAAAAGTGTAGTGGTCCCTATTCAATAACGTCAAAGGCATTGAAAACTCAGATCAAAATTCGAAATTAACACGCAAGCTTGGTAGTTTCATTTTGCGCTTTCAAAATCGATATCCCCAACAAGCTCGTTCATTTATATTGCTGATGCTTTTGAAAAATTTCTTTTCTAAGTAAAGCCATAGAGGCTATACGATTGAAAGTATCAGTGTCGGCAATTTTCCGAAGCAACTACGTGCTAGAAACAAATTTACGCGTTCCGGTGGCCAAATGGATAGCTGGAAATTGGAGACCTGTCTCGGAGAAATAGGAATTTAAATAAGGGCACACTTCCGTAGCCGGACGGAAAAGGAATTTATCTCCATATTCCATGTGTGTTTTACGACTGCTTTGGGAGTAACATCTTTTCGGTTTGGGTAAATAAAAATTCCTTTATGTCTCACGTGTGGAACAGCGAGACAAAAATGGACGATACATCGCTCCTTGCAAATGACTTTCAACTTTATTACGAACCAAATAGGTCGATTGGAGTGAGAGGTATGCCGAGTGTAAAAAAATGGAGTATGCCATGAGAAACTCATAGTTAATGTGTAGTAGTAGTAGTAGTAAAGTATAGTAAAACTTAAATGTCTTTGTGTTTAGTTATGTTTCCTCTACCTCTGCGAGGAAAGTGGTCAGGAGTTTTCGAACATCATCTAATAGAAATGTCCATAAATCAAAAAAGGCTTAACGCATTTTAATAAACTTGGATTCATTAAAAATGGCTTAAGAGGTAAGTCCCCAACAACCCACTGAAAGACGCAGCTTCATATCCTAACCAAAAATATGAATAAAAGAACTTGATACTCAAAACAAGTTGCATTTTGCAAAACAATTTAGTTTACCTCTTGGGTGATATAAATACTTTTTGACATCTTTGCCTTCTTTTAAATATTTAGTATTATCACTTACTTTTCCATTGAAACTAGATGTACTCACTAACTTGGTCACTAATTAATTATGGGAGACTAATTATTGCCTTAACTAGTACCTCGTGAAAAACCATTTAAGCAATAAATGAATCATCTCCTTTAATAGAAATAATAATAATTGTAATTATCAAGAATGCCATGAAGACATTTTTTGTCTTTATTCGACAAAACATATCTTCCTTTGATGGTTATCAAAGTCTTTTGGTTCCTTACCATTTTAAATAGATTAAAATTTAAAATTAATGCTTATTGCATTATAAATGTTATACATTTAAAAGCGACCAGTTGCAATAACACAATTTTATTATTAGTTGGTCCTCAACAATTGGTAAGTTACTATGAAATTTTGGGCGCCTGGAAGCATTGTAATAATAATAAAGATAAATCATTATGTTTTATTTCGGTTTAAAATATAATTTGACAATCTAAATACGAAATTTAATATGTCAGCATCGCTAGACAGTAACATCAACTCGTAAACTGGAGTTGTCTCCCAAAATTGACCTTTTTTTTTCTAAAAATAAATAAGAACTAAAAGTTGAAATTTTCACTAAATTATATATTTTGACATGACAATTGCTTCGACAACACCGTGTCTTTATCAAATGTTGATAAAAACCCGGTGTTGTCGAAACAATTGTCATGTCAAAATATATAATTTAGTGAAAATTTCAACTTTTAGTTCTTATTTATTTTGATAAATGGATTTTCATCAAGTAAAAGCCTCCTCAGTTCAACTTTTTTTTCTAGTATTAAGCAACTTAAGTCAGATTTTAGGTTAGGATACGGCGATGCGGTTTTCAAAACACAAGTTTATTAAAAAGCGTTAAGCCTTTTTGGAGATATCGATAACTCACCACTTTCCTCGAAGAGATAGAACAAAGAGTATTAAACAAAAAAGATTTGAATTTGTCTTAGCTTCAAAACTGTGCTTTCTCTCACTCTTTTTAATAATAAAGTTTTTTTTTTTAAACAAGGTTTTAAGAATGAAAAAAATAAGTGAGAAGAGGCCATCTCAGAAACTCGAAAATATCGGGTTAGCTAAAATGGGACACCCGGTATATGGGGTGTTTAAAATATGGGTAAAACCTATGAACGCGTGTTTCATTATAGAAGATTAGTCTCTCTCCCTCGCTTAGCGTGTTTTGCAATAATAAAGAGATTTGTACCACGACTGACAAATCAAACGAAAGCTGCTTTTATTTGTAGATAAGGCATTTTTGCTCGGCAGCTTTCGAAACAGATAGCTGCTCTATCCCGCCGGTAATTTGAACCATCCCACACTTGGACCGCAGACTGACGCGTTTTTCCCCAAGTACGAAAAACGTTTCCAATCGGAAATGGCTCGAGGCATCCAGCATTACAGAAATAACATTGACCCCAAAACAAATTGCGTTTCCACAAAGCACGGAAAAGTAATAAAAGCAACAAAAAGCAAACATCGAGGTCTCTGATTTTCGCTTCACTTAGAGGAACCTGTTTTTGGGGATTTTCCATCATTTATATCCGATGTTTTAATCACACCTTTTGTTTTCGTTTGGTTTTCTTTCATTATTTGTCGCGCGATCAGCAGAGTTCGAGTTTCTTTGGGGGAAAATATTTTTCTCTTCCAGTATTATATACTACCTTACGATTAAACTTGAAGATTAATGAGTTCTATAATCTGTTAAAAATAAAAGCCTAAACTAGGCAACACCCTGTAAAAAAGTATATGGCCCCATTTTATCATCTAGTATTTGATCAAATACAACGAAAAAAATGTCCATATTATTTTGTAACTTGTTCTTTCCAGGTGATAGTCTATCCGACGAAAGAAAACTTGCAGCTGTTTGGAGCTGCCTTGATACTACTCCTTATATGGATAGTGGCCCTTTTGTTGGCTATGCCGCTTTTCATCATCAGACATCTGAAACACCACGAGATCCAGATATCCGGGAATGACCAGCTCAGCTTGGATTTCTGCATAGAAAATTGGCCCATCGAACACGGTCGTGCTTATTACTCGATCTTTTCGTTGATTTTTCAGTACACCCTGCCAATTATCATCGTAACGGTAAGTTAATAGGGTTAGGTATATCAAGAATATGTGTTTAGTTATATGAATTATTTTTCTAACAAACTGGTATTGGAGACCGTTTGATATTGTTGAATGTTAGACAAATAAGTGTGATAAGTAAGCAGATACTATTTTGGGTAGCTATAAACTCGACAAGTTACGAAGAGAGATTTAAAAAACAAAGAAAAATTTAAATGTCAGTGCTCATCTAAGAGTAGAAGACAGTGTTTCTCAATAAGTATATTTCGAACAGGATATGTCAAAAAATATTACGAAAAGTCAGTTGTTTTTGCTTTTTCTTTTTCCCATATTTGCTCGAAAACTTCCTAGAGCCGGTCCTGCTTGGAGTGCAGTGGAACTGTGGAATTTTTGTCCTTTAACCATTTGAAGCTTTGTGTTGCCTAGCTGTTTTTATTATTATTATTATTATTATTATTAACATTATTAAAAAATATAAATAAAATACATAGGTGTATGTCCCTTAATATGTACATGTAGCCTACATTTTTTTAATTTTTTTAAAAGTTTTCAAATTTGACAACTAAATCAGTAGAGCAAGAAAACCAAAGCAGCGATTCATTTTTTATTTTAAACTGGATTCATTGTTATTTATGTTACGTCATTTTCTTAAGGTGTATTATGTAGTTAGATTATTTTACGTTTTACTTTTTACAAATCTTGTTTGCGTGTAGTAAATAAGGTAGTTAAACAACACAAACAATTTATTCCTTGATTTATATAAATGAGAATGCGCATAACATTGACATTCCAGTTTGATTCGTGTTCACTGCGCGCTAATAATTAAAGACAGCCTTTGTGAAATTTAATGTTAAAAAACAAAATTAATTAAAGTTTAAAAAATTGCAAATTAGTTCCCTCTAAATTTATGAAAAAATGTTCGGAATTTGTTGGAGATATAAAAAATCGCACGTATTTTTTTTCTTCATTTAATGTGTAATCTTCAACAATGTTGATATATGTTTTCGACAGAATGCTGTCCAAAAAAACATCCAAAAACGACAGGTGGCAACATTTAGTTTCTAGTTTAGAAAGTAGACTTATTTAATATAGACACATTCTCCGCAATCGCTGATAAACGAGCTCGATAGAAAAATCAGGACAAAATCTACTCAAAAGTAGAAATGGTGTGCGAATCGTCGAGAATTATGTGTCCCACGGGAGATGTTAGCGTTCCGTGAGCTTCTCCCTAGAAGCACCGACGTAAATCTTTATCCGAAAAGGCCGTCTCCGAGGAAATTATTTCGGAGCTTTTTTTCGTTTCCCAATGAAACGGAAAAGTAGGTTGCTTATTAAAACGTCGCCGTTTGATAAATGCAGGGATGTTTCGGTGGAAGGCCAAATATGGAAATTTATGATATTTGCAAAAAGCACAAACATTAATAATGCGTACACCGAGTGCAAAATATACGTAATTATGACTAAATTCATTAACTATAATACAATCTTTGACTGATATGTGGGTACTAAATATTTAAGACTTGGACCTTAATCGCTTTTTAAAAGATAAATCCTCGGATTTGCTTTTTGCAGATGATCTGAAGTTAATGTTGGACCAGAAATATAGTGCTTTTACAACCGACCCCGTGCAGCCCCTTATAGAACACCCTGTAGAGCAGACCCTTACCAGTAACCAGTAACCATTCCAGGAATTTATTTCCCTAAACTAATCAGCCGGATATAAGTATGTTTTCAATCTATTTCGCAGAGCAATTCTGGAAACATGTAAAAATTATTTTTCTTATGACGTCCCTTTATCTACCACGAATATAAACCATAGTCTTAAAAAAGATTAAATCAAATCGAAGAACTATGCAGAAGACACAAAAATACAAGAAGAATGTTGTAATTGACAGTCACACAAGACAAAAATAATTATTTTCAAACTTACATGTAAGTAAAGCACAGGTAGTTACCCTTACCTTTTGAACTATCTAGCGAAAACAGCCTCGCAGGGTCAAAGCTCGAGAAGCAAGTACATAAATACATAATTACCTAAAGGATCACAGTCAAATACCTCGAAAATATATAGGAACATATTGCAATTTAGATTAAACTCTTAAGAACGATACATATCACTTGATGTTATTATAAACGCTTCTACTTATTCGAAAATACCCCGAAGCATCAATGTTTCAATGCTTTCAAATAAAAATTTCAAGTTTCTTCAAATATTCGTTACGGTCCATCTTAGGCAAGACGGCTCTGCGAAAGTCTGGTGTTAAGGTACTGTAAAATACTTAAAACGTCAACGTAATAAATGTACTATACTTTTGGTCATATTATATATGATCAGTAATCAATCAATCAATAATCAATAAATCAATAAATAATTTAGCGGTGGATATAGATAAGTGGTTCCCAATCAGCTCCTCGCAGGGCATAAAAAATTTAACTTGAACTGTTCATGATGATTAATGTGTACTTAACCTATAAAAATAAAATTTGGTTCCTTGGTATCACTTTGAGTGACAGTGTTAACTTTAATGAATACATAACTCGAAAAATTCTTGGCTTAACACTAGACTAGACATAGACTAGAGTTGTACTATGTTCGCATATTCTCACCTTTGGTGCGGGACACACTTGTGAAACGCATTTGAAAAAGTACAGTATAGAATTAAAGCCCCCGTTCTAAGCTTTTGCAGACTCAGATTAAGTGAGTCTTTCTATATAGATTTTCATTTTAGTAATTATAACTGTAGTAAGGGCCCTTAAATCCTTATATAAGCATTGTGGTATAGATCTTTTTAACTTAAGTGTAACGCAGTTTAAATGTGTTATTATAGGTTGCTGAACGAAAATGGCTATCTGGGGTTTTAGTTTAGATCTTGCTTTATACATGCCTTTTCTCAGTTAAGACCGATTTTTTGAATTACCCTGCATTATGTTTTTGACAAAAAATGTCATTTTTACATAACGAAGAAGTTATAAGTTGGTAGGAGCACTTGTTTTCATAATATTTTGGTTTCAAATAATAGACTTATTTTTTTAAATGAAAATTCTTTTTTAAATTAAATTTAAACCAATGAAAACCCAGATAAAAATATCAATAAATGGTGGAAATATTCTCCTCCAAAAGTAACAATAAGACTTTTATGTACTTTAAGTTAAAATTTATAGTAACTGTTTCCTTTTCATAAAAATACCTGGGAAATCACCCTATGAAATATTGGACACATTTTAAAGTATAACAATAAACCTAAGGTATTTATTTAAAACTAAAACCTAAACATTCTAATAGAAAAAGGAAATATTATACATATCTCAAAACTATACAACAAAGGAAAAAAACAAAAGGAAAGTCAATGTATATTGAAACATTGGTAAGAGAAAACAATATAAATATAACAGTATTTGCTGTAATCAAAGTATGCTTATCGAAGTTTTAAGACAACAAAATTAAATATGGACGACTCATATCAAACTTTTAAAAAATCACTTGATTTATAAATAAACGACAACATTTAAGGTGATTTCTAAGTTTTCAACCTATAAGTAATTTGTATCTGAATTTACAAAATGTTTTGAAAGTTCAAAAATTAATAAATATTAATTAGTCATTACATCGTCTTTTTCTTTCTGTGTAGGGTCGAAATAGATTTAACAAAGCATTTTCTCCAGTTGCTCGCATTTGCGTGTCGTCTATGATTATGATTATAGTCAAAGTGGAAAGAGGCCCTCTTTGACACGTGTAAAATCCCCCTTTAATTAGGAATTATTCCGTGTATTGACGAAAATGTCTCATACATTGTAATGATACTCGGGTAAATAGGAGTGAAAATTTAACTGTGCCACCACGTGTGGCCATTATTCAAACTCACTTTATTTCTTTATTTCCTGCTCCTTTCCGAGGCTTTACAGCTCTTAACGCATTTTCTCCCCATGTGCGATCGGATTATCCGTAATGCTCAAATACGCAGAGATTTGTTTCGACAGATCCCGTTGGGAGGAATTAAATCTTTCGTGGTCCACTCAAATACCAAACACGTGTGAGGTATTAAATTGTCGTTTTAGTAGGGCGAAACCCGAGGTAAAATCTTATATATATAGATCTGGCCGTTGCCTGGCAAATTAATGACAATATTTTGTCGGAAAGCAATAAACGATCGGCTTAGCACACCACATATTAAATACCCAATTTCGTGATACTTGCAATTTTAAGACAAAATTTCGCAATGAAAAGTTTTAATTTTCAATATTAAAAGTTATAGCTGACTACTGAATTCAAAATGAAAATTGACAATAAAACAAAAATTTTGCTAAACATGTTCCTTTGAAATAACCATTCAGCAACGTAAGCAGCATCCTGGAAGAGTACCTCAAAAATCAATCCAGGAGCGCGTAAAATGATTACGCAAATTGTTTTTGTTTATGTTTACGCTTGTGGTTAACCATTAACGCGCGTCGATGTATGCGCAGTGGGGAAATGGGATGTTATGTTCTGGGGGGCAGTAGTAAATGTTATTGCAGAAATGGCAACTGGAAGCATGTCCACTGGAAAATTTGCGTTCGAGCAAAGCAAACTTGGTTACATTTTAATTTGTTTGTTTTGTTTGACCAGTAAATTTTTAGATGTTATAAACTTGACTTGAAATGTTTGCAAAACTTCTTCATATTCATTAATATTGTTTAGCTTTTAGTAATAGAAATCGAGTCTTTGGAATGTGATTATTTTGAAATTATTGAAAATTGTTAGGGATTCTGAGTTTCTTAATGAAATGGAATTTATGGGACATTTAATAGAAAACATTTCATGGACTTCCGCTTTTTTTCATATATTGAACCTAATCAAATAATTGAGTTAACAAACAAATTCGTTGTCTTACACAATACTTCACAGGGAATAATGTCAGATATTAAAAAGCAGGATTTAATATTATTTATTCAAATTACCCTATTAGAATTTTTTAAAGAAAGTTCCACCTGCGTCGGTTCTTCAGTCGAACTTGCTAAACGTTTCGCCAATCATCCTGTTAGCTTCTCCAGAGCTTTACTGAAACTGGCTCGCATTTTGTAAAGTGACTAACTGATACGAATTAAGGAAAGACCTGGGCAAGCTGTAAGAATGAAATATGGCCGAACAGATCCGTACTGTGCTTAGAATTTAATTATTTGGGGTTTTGTTAGGAAAGATACAAAACAATATTTATTTATTTATGTATGTATTTATGTTTAAATCTAAAATAAAATTACAAATTATTTTTATTTCTTCTTATATTACTTAAAATTATTCACATAATATATCAGTATCACTATCGCTATCATCGCCTGTTTTAATTATTATTTGTTCTATATTATTTGCAATATGGATATACGATTGTTCTGCTTTTTTTATGTGTTTAACAGAATTTGCCCAACTTTGTGGAGGGATGTTAAAAACTTTCTATAAGTTTCTATAAGTTTGAGGAAATTGGTGTTATCACGGAGAAACACATTGTTACGACGAATGGCTGATTTAAGTTGGTGCCAAACATGTTCAATGGGATAAAATATAAAATATAATTAAAACTGTGTGCCCTAGATTTTTTGCATAATTATCACAGACGTATTCCTTTGTAGGTTCAAGCTTTGTAGAAACTCAATTAATTGTTTTGGATTGTTGCTTTTGTGTCACATGAGGAAGGGGTTTTAGTCAACTGTCTACTGTGATAACTTGCATTGTCCATTACAATTTCGCCATTAGGAGGAATGTTTGGAACTAGTTTGTTTTTAAACCAACTTTCAAATAAATCAGCGGTGGTGACTTCATGGTAATCCAGAGAAGAATCTTTAATATTTTTCGCAGACAGAGAAAGTTTATTTAGAATCCAACCATCTTTAGAGCCAGTATGCAAAATAGTTATTCTTTTACCTATTTCTGATGGCGCGTTTGTTTTACACTTATCAGTTGAGTCAACCCAACGTTTTTCCGGGGTATCATAAATGTCGAACCATTTTTCATCCACGTAAATAATTGGCTTTTGTTCTTCTCTTCTCTTTTTTCTAGATATTCCAATCGCCATTTCCGAATTCTAAAACTTGCCTTCTGTCGATTTATTTGAATCTAAAACCCACTTTCATAAGGTTTCTGCCACACACACCGGTTTCATCTTTTTCAAGCCTCCTAACTAAGATATCTAATGTAGGCACGCTTTGTTCCTCGTATATCTGGTAAATTTTACGCCGTATTATATCTTGATCACTTTCATCTACACTCGAGAAAATGTCAGCATCGCTTCTTTTTTTTTCCTCGCTGAAATGGGATTATTCACAATTTTCCATACAATTGATGTTGGAATTTTAGTCAATGTGAAGATCCTTGCTAGCTGGCACCACGTTTAATGAGAGTCAAATAAACATTGTTTATAACTTCCTCAGTCTCAATAGACTAGTGTTTTCTACATTTGGGCGGGAGCATCTCCTGAGATACACTAGACTCGCACATATTTTGCACAATTCGCACACGATTCAACACACGCTGTATTACACACGAAATAAGAATGATTACTAATAAACTTAAACTAAGTGGTATACCAAACCAAAGAATATTAAACACAGGTAGGTATAAAATAATTTTCTATTACGGACCACAATTTTACCCGCATTTAAACTCCGAAACTTTAAGTAATAATCTTGTTGCATTGTATGTTAATGACCACCCTTGGATAATCCCATTCAATAGAAATTGGTCACTTTCTTATATCTATGAACAGACCATACCTGCTTATATATTGTTTGAGGGAGGCGGAGCTAAATGAGGGATATAAGCATCGTCTAGTTTTATCGAATAAAATTTCAGACAAATAACACAAAACTGTATTGTTTTCGGCCAGATATACATTTCATTTTTGTATGACCTTTTTATGTCTAATGATATTAAGTAGCCCCACATACATGGTGGTGCATTTATCTTGAAGACTATTTGATCTCAGAAAATATTCCAGATTTTTTATAACAAATTATCACCTGCTTATATTAGTTATTCTCCTTTTAAGTGTCTAATGGATTTTTTTGCTAAATGTTTCTTCAAATTTTTACCAGATTTGATAGTTGATAAAGAAATCATAATCAGAAACAAATTTACAATCAAAACACAATAAAGTCATAAATAACCGTTTTTCCTTCTTTTGAACCATGGCGTCATAGTTTGAATAATAGTGGTATTAATACCTAAGTTCTAGAATCTCCGTCCTCCTTAGGAGGATTCGAGATTTCGAAATTACGTATTTCTAACTCGGTAGCCAAGGAATTTGGATTTTATTTGTCAATCATCTACAAATGGGAGCGCACTCTAGATTTTAAGGTATATAATAAACAATCAAGTGAATATAGGGTGTCCTGACAATTAAATATACGTGTTTCTCCGAAACCCGTTTATGTTATCAAATTGAGTTGAGCGTAGATAGCATTGATTTAAACAACTTCGAAAATTTTTGAGGTAAATCGAGTAAACACTTTCTTTTTCCCTAAACTACCCACCCATGAAGATTACCTTGTGCTGTCGTTTAACACCGTCAATATCGGATCTGACCTGTTAATAAGTCGAACAAAACGCCATTGCAGACAAAAACCTGCTTGTCCGGTTTCGTGATATTTTTCGTCCACTCTCTCCAATGTATTATTTGCCGCATATGCATGGAATGCTATAAACTACTGGTATCTCGAATGGAATTTTGTGTTTGACGGATCGAAGATGTTGAGTGATAAATCTGGTTTTGATGTCATATTTCTTTTGAACTTTTGATATGTGGTCAGTGATGTTTTAAATGAAAGGAAAGGACAACAGTGGCAAGTGTGGGATTGCATTCAGCCGCATTGCTATTGGAAGGTTGTGGTGAAGTGTATTTTTTGATGCAAGGCTTAATATCTTTAATATGGAAATTGTTAGAGAGAAGAGCAGAGTTAACGTGTGTTAATTCTGGATTCAATGACTCGGGCTGAGATAGTTTTCCGGCTCTGTAAACAAGAGATAGTTGACAACCGATGATTTTTGGGCAGGATGGCGATGTGACAATGCAATGGTATGACAATGACCCAATGTTAGATCTGAATTTCTATTGATAAGAATATGTAAAAATGCGAGCTTATTTTTAGTTTCTAATGTAGGTGCAGAGTAAAATGCGAGCTAGTTTCAGTTAAACTCTGAAGAAGAAGACAGTGAAATGATAGCAATTTCGATTCGACAACAACCGAAATAGAAGGAATCCCAAAGTTTTGTAAATATTATTACTATTTTAAAACTTTCGTTTCCCGACGGTGACGCAACAAAGCGTGGAAACATCGATATAAAAAAAATGGTGATTCGTGGATTTCTTCAAACATACAAAACTTTTGTTGAACAGATTGGTTGACAAAGCCCACCGTAACCGATTTATTTTCAGATTGTGAATGTCTAAATTGTAAGGGCCTTAGGGTACGCATTCATTTGTATTTTTCGTTTTCGTTCGAATCAACTAAATCCCGCTCATTTTACTAATTTTATCAACATGTTTCTAACGTTCTGCTGGAGCGAACCAATGAAAAAGTCTGCGTCTAGATCGAGTGCCTTATTTGAATTGATTTTTTAGACACTTATGCCGCAAAAAGTCCCCCTCGTTACGAGAACCGGTAAAACGTTTCACGCGCATAAACTTCGGTAGAATCGAAAAACGCCGAATCAGTCTACTGTAAAACTTTGGCGGGTTCTAAATTAATTTCGGCTCCGTTCGGATGTTGTTAGACTTTTTGCCGTTACACATTCGACTGTTCCAAGCCCTCTGACGTAGATTTACATGTGTTGTTTTAAAACTAGCTTATATATTCGAAATAAGTATTAAACTAGGAAAGTTAAGAGTTCTATCGCTGACATTTTAACAAATATTTTCACGAAAAATTTGCAATGTGTCCAGTTAAGTTAAGCATATAATATTTAAAGGTTCCGAATTCTTCACTCTCATTGTTACATTAATATATGCTCAGATTTGTTTTTCTACCTTTCAAACTAGGGCATCAGTCATGGGCATCAAGGGCAGAAACTTACAACACAGATCTTAAGTTAAAACTAGCCGATTCTCAAACACTAATGTCGTCTACGTCTAGTGGTCTGCGTTACTTCAAAAAGATAAAGTCAGCTTTCAGAATGCTTGTCCCAGATTCACTTATAATATTCGAATGTTCGATCATAGTTTAGCAAACCTTGAGGTCCACCCTTGCTGATTTAACAAATGACGAATAGCTCTTAGTTTCAGGTAAAAAATAATCACTCTCCAAAGCCTTATTTAAGAAACTGACTCGTAGCTCAAAATACTCCTCATAAGGGACTATCCGCGGTTCGCAACCATAATTCAGCTCAATTTACACGCTTTTGCTCTAACACTATCAAAGGTTACAGTCAACTCCCGCTCTAAGTTAGGTCAGTCGCTTTATTAACAACATGCAGATGCCCAAAATCTTCTTAAAATGACGTTATCTTTACATATAGAATTTTTGTTTGTAGTTTTGTTATACAGGCCGTCTCATATTTTTTAATCTATTTTTTATACTGTCTGGTTTGCTCTAATGGGTGCTTATTTTTTTATTCTTCGCATTGCATATATGAATTAATTTTAATAACTGTATTTAAAAACATTTCATTTTTATTATGTTTATTATTATTCTAAATGAGCAACTCACGCCATTCTTGGTTTAAAAAAAAAACATATAGGTGGCACCCAAAAAGCATTAAATTATCGGATTTTCGGGTTGGTTCTCCAACTCTCTGTAGTTTCTTGCTCGCAGACAGGGCCGGACTCAGTCCGTTCACGTCCCTCACAATATAATCTAACTGAATTTTATTTAGGGCTGCTAACAGCACATTTATTTTCTTGTTTGCAGGCAGCGTACGTGAGGATATCGTACAAGTTGCGTTATCGATTCGCAGCGGGATTCGTAAGTACTGAGGATTCGCTTCAGAAAAGTAGGAGACAGTTGCGCGGACGCAGGCTCCAAAGAACCAATATTCTTTTGGGTTCCATTGCGATTATATTCTGCATAAGCTGGTTACCGCTAAATCTGTTCAATTTGATCGCAGACCTGCTCGCGGATTCCAAGAGTTTCACTACGCAACCGATGATGGTAAGTGCGGAAATTCTAGCAAACAAAAAGTGTCTCTAAAAGTTTTAAAAAAATTATAGAAATTTCGAAATAAATACCAAACCCGAAATTATTGTTCAGTTCAAAAATAATAGAGGCTTGTAAAATTACGGAAAAGATCGATGCTGATTGGGTAGATTTATTGCCTCTTATAAAGCGGTCACAGTCAATTGAAACAAAGCAGAGTAATATATAATAGAGAATAGTGGAATTTGATTTCACACTGATAAACCAGGTTTACAAACTAGAAGATATTTCTTTTAAAAAATGTACATGACCACTTTTTTTTCATTATTATTTTAATGCGTTGGTATTTGTTGTATACCTAACACCAACGGGGAAATGAAGAATGAGGACACTACGACCCAAAATAGCGACGAATATACCATTACACCATCGGATATACTAATTGATTGAACATTGATGTGCTTACACTGGAAATAGCTGTACTTAAATTAAAAAATGGCAGAGCACAGACCCACAAGGATTATCAGCATCATCATCATCATCGACTGCCATATTGTACCTATATCGCAGCATGGCTTTCTTCCCGGCAGTCATATCAAATACATGCTTGAATCACTGGACATTATTTTTTGACTCCGGTGATCCGGTGGATATTATTTACCTCGACTTCAGCAAAGCTTTCGACAAGGTGCCACATTGACGCTTGTTATTCAAATTTGAAAAGGTCGGAGTGGGGGTAAACTGCTAGAGTGGATAGCGGCTTTCTTAAGCCACCGGTCGTTCAGAGTTCGAATTGTTAACGCTTATTCAGTGCCACAAAACGTACCTAGTGGTATTCCCCAGGGATCGGTGCTAGGATCAGTGCTATTCTTAGTGTATACAGTGGATTTGCTCTCCAGCATTGATTCTCATGTGAGCGTTTATGCTGACGACACTAAATTATTTTAAAATCTTTCAACACATGCGGACGTATTGCAGAGAGACTTGAATACTATTTCCAAGTGGTGTTCAACTTGGCTACTGCCGCTGAATGCTCAAAAGTTCTCTGTGCTGCATGTTGGCAAGAACAATCCCGGTTTGAATTATGATATCAATGGAAACTTTGTGTCAAGTGTCGATTCTCAGATGGACCTAGGTGTGACAGTAACCAATGATCTTGCGTGGTCTGTACAAGTATCAAATATTGCAAAGAAATCAAACTCCGCGTTATTTTTATTAAAAAAGGCTTTTAAAAATTCTAGTCCTCGCATCGCTTGCAGACTTTTCACCACTTACATTCGCCCCATCCTGGAATTTGCTTCCCCACTCTGGAACCCATAGCTATTGCGTCACTGTGATGTAGTGGAAATAGTGCAACGCGCCGCTACGCGTTGGCCACTTCAACTTAGACAAACACCTTACGATGACCTTCTCAAAATATTTAGTCTGCCAACATTTAGTCAACGTCGGCTGCGAGGGGATCTCATTCAAATGTATAGGTTTGCGCATGACCAATTTCCATCTGACGTGACCCTTATGGTTTTAAGCAATGATGAACAATTCAGGACTTCACATCGCCTACATTTTATAAGTAACAGGGCTTTCGATTATTGGAACAGTTTACCCCCAGCAATAACTAAATATTTATTATATGTATAACATTCTTATGCTAACTATCAATATGCATGATAATTTCTCCTCTGCACTTTATTCTTTGTAATAATAATAATAACTGAAGCTTTGACCTGGTGTATAAATACATTTCTAAATGGTCTTCCAGTACCAGAACAGTGAAAGGTTTCCTACGTATCATCATCTATAGGGAGCAAAATTAACAGGACTTGACAAATTACAGGCCCATTTCGGAAACAAGCACCTTAAGTCGACTGTAAGAAAGGATTCTTAAAGATATAGCTGAATCAGAACACAAAAATCAAGAAGAAGAGAAACAATCAGGATTCAGAGCTGGTAGAACTTGCACAGACACAAAGATCATAGATCTCCCTAAGGCGTGTGTTACAGTACCTGTAAAACGGAAAGAAAATAAAGTATTACAAGAATTAAGGATTAGTTACACTTTAATCAAAAGCATCAAGAATAAAAATTAGTAATAAAAAATTTCGAAATTTCCCTGTGAACAAGGGTTTGCGTCAATGTTCCTGTGTGCCTGTCTGCCCTGTTTAAAATGTATGTAGCAAAAGCTCTAACTCGACGGAAACGGAAATGCAGTGGTATGTGTATAGAATTAGATCAAACCTGCTTAAAATTTGGCTACGATCAAGTCATTATTGCCAACAAAAAAGATTATTTAGAATATATGGAACAAATCTTCAAGAAGATTATAAACATTAGCGGTTGAAAACTAACATCCAGACAACAAAGTATCTTTCAGGGGCAGACCCAGCAACATCAATCTCGGTGCAGATGAAATCGCAGTGCACAATGGGGTGCAACTATTGCATACTGCAGGAGTTAAAATTAAAAACCGTGTAAGTCAAGCCAGTAGATTAACTTCTTGTTTAAAAGAAATCCTTTGGAGTAATGAGATATGGAAAAATAAAAATGCGTCCTCTATGAGAACTTAAGAAAAAGGTTTTTATTGTATGGAACAGTCCAACATGTCCAACAAATGGACGATTCCAGGTTGCTTAAGAAGTTTACACTATGGATACCACGAAACCCCAAAAAACAAGGGGCACTGAAAAAAAAAGTTGGAACGAAAGAGTTTCGACGGCAATGAACTCAAGGGGTTTGAGAGAAGGTCACCGGAATGATAATAGATTATGAAAATTACTCATCAGACAACGTCGAAATACGTTTTAAAAGCCGATTATATTATATTTACTTATTCATTTCAATATAACGAAATTGATTATTAAATATAAATTATAGTACATTTCGTATTCAGAATGTTGTATTCGAAAATTTATGATATTTTTTTAAGTCAGAATATATGTTTCGCCAATTTCTCACACCCACAATGTATTTTCTATGTGAAGTATTAAAGGTATTTTTGCTAATCATGGCGGAATCACTTGATTGCCTGGTATAAAGATGTAAGTAACCACATTTTCTCTATTTAATTTACCGGATCAAGAGAGAAACAATTTTTATTTTCATTAGAAAACTAGGACGTTACAAAAAACTGGCTTGGCATTTTAATTTATTTTTGCTTTGAATTTGTTGAGCAAGAAAAACTTCTCAATGTAAAATGTTAACGCGAACTTTTGGTTTTCGAAAACCAAAAAAACGTGAACGGACCTTATTATTGCGGACCGGTGGAATTTCGAATTGTGTATCGCTTTGAAAAAGTTGGAGCACCAATTTTAAGTTCTACTTTCAGCACTCCGTATCTGACACTTACTAAATTTATAAGGAACATCCTACGTAGAAGATATTGATAAAATTACATGGATAATTTAAAAAAATTGCCACGTTTTAATATAGAATCGTATCAAGTTGAATGCTAGTCGAGAAACACGGATATAGGCATCTCTTTCTTCTTTGAGCTGTTTTTAACAGCCAATTAAAATGATATTCGCATTTTAATCAAGATTTATTAATTAGTTTTCGACAGTGAACTGTTTGTTTTGATATCTTCATGAATCGTATAATTGAATTGTTGTATTTCACGAGAGATGTTTTGATTAACGTAGAACAAAAGATCCGTTGACTCCTAATTTAGATTATTTCTTTTCTTTTCGAATGCCTTCTCTCTTTTTTGAATCTACGCGCTCATAAAATTAATCTTTGTGAAGTAACACTGAATTATAGTAGTGACGTGCCGAAACTTTTCGGGGAAACACGCACCCAATTATTGCGAGTACCTTAAAAATGACTTCCTTTTTTTACTCTCGCCATAGAAATAAATTTTCTGGCGGGTAAAAGTAGCAATTAACAGGCGAGAAAGTTTTCTTAATTTGTCTATTAATTACATCGTTAGTTGAATAATTATTAAATTTGGTACGCAAATAGATAGTGCTAGATCTTTATGCAAAAATATTTTCCTACTTCGATAACGTCTGATGTTGTATTACTTATTACTAACAACGTGTTTTATTGTTTTCATACCATTTCTCTTCAAAATGATGCATTTTAGGACATATTACAAAGGAACAACAATAACAATTTACTCATATACATTCGAACAAACTAGAAAAAAAAGGAATTATAATAACAAGGACCCCACGACAGTAACGCAAATTTATTTTAATTTTTATGTTAGTATTATTTTGTTTGCGGGAAAAGTAAATATTTTTTATTTACCGACATAGCGAAATTGTAACACACAATAAAATGTTTTTTTAGATAAAAATCTCTTGAGGGGTTTCTTGAAATTTTTAATAGGCAGCTGTTTTAACCCTTAAAACATTCATACATTTATCCCAAAATATAGAAGTTTGTTCTATTTCTTGTTGTATATTTATGGAAAGCTCCATTATCTCCAAATTCCGAAGGTCAATAATTAAGCAAGCAAACCTTATAGTTAGTATTTTTTTTTAAGGTTTCTATAGAGCTAGCGTTATAAAAAGGATTCTCTTTTGTGCAATGAAAAGCCTCATGTCCTCATGTCCTTAGAATATAGGAGATTGTTGAGAACACTTAAGGGTAGTAAACATTGATTAGCGGCTTGGTGGAGACAGAAGATTGGTTTTCCAGAAAATGTTTTTCAGGAGAAACGCAGTCCATCGTTAAAAGTCAAGGTTTTAACTTTCCTCATTCTTTAACTTTCATTCATTTAAGAAAGTAATTTATGCGATTCCTTTCCGGCGGATTCTAAATTGGTTTTCAGAACAAATAAATTGTATTTTCCAAATAATGCGCGCAAGATGTTCTGGAATAAGCGTCGATCGCACTTGGATAATATCCGCAATCTCGGCAAATTTCTTTTTCATTATTTTCTCCCGCCCGTCGAATTTTTTTTTTAAACCGAACTCCCGGAACAGAACTTCCTCTATCTCGAGCGATTCGAGTGCGGACGGACGCCGAAGAAGATGCGAAAAAAATCGTGCTGTTTTAAAATCCGTAACGAGAAA